AAGGTTATAAAACCACCTTTTAAGATAATTTTAGTGAAAGTTTCATGTTTCTATCTCATATAATTTAAGAACAATGATGAATAAATCATTTTCGAGCAAAATTTAAATGGACGGCTGAATATATTACCGCCGGAGAGACACGGCAGTGGAATTTAAATGACCGCGCGAAAGGGCTAAATTCATAACATTTTTATTGTAGAAAATATTGATAGCTATGTAATGCAGGAACTTTCAACATCTCCTAATATGGAACAGGTCTTCAGTACTGAAAAACGAACATCAGCAGTCTTATGATATAAAATATATACTTTAATTTAACTTCATGCACTATTTAGGATCAAGTATTTCAGCATTGCATAAAATGCAATGAGCTTCTTTGTTTTCCTTTATGCTGTAAGGTGCTTGTGATGTGTCTCAACATTACAGACAATTCAAGTGACTTTGTAATAAAACTGTTGTTCCAGTGCTGTGTCACATGAACTAAATGCGTATAATTTTGATTGGCCTAAAATACTATGTGCAGCAGGCAGCTTTCCTCATGCCCATTTCCTGCACTAAAATAATATTCCTATATATATTCCATCTGTTGGTGAACATCCTGACTTTGCATCAAACTGGTAATTTATGGACAACTGAGGACAAGAGAAGGTTATTACACTTGAAATTTCCATAACTAATATTAAATGTTAATTAAATAATGGTGTAGAGATGTGGAAACCCCCTGAAGTAGATGCTAAGCTCAGTTTTAAAACTTCTGAAGGTCAACAATGTACGTAGAAAAGTTATGTATATGGTTCTCAGTGTTGAGGTGGGCCATGACCAATATGCACCAGTTCATTCCTTTAATTCAGCCATCAGCTAATAATAAAACAGAGAATATCAATCACTGAGATTACAGCCATTTTCAGAAGACACAAATGAAATATAAACTGTTCCTATGAAGCAACTTCTGGTAAAAGCCAAAAGGTATTTAGTACCCATAAAAGTCTAATAAAGAAATACAGAATTTAGATATAGTGCATATCCGGCAAATATTAAATCTGAATTCTAGCTAACATATAAATGTTGGCACTTGTTTACAAGGTGGTTGATTGCGATTCTGTACATTATAATCGACAATATAAGTCAAGACTGGTCCAATTTTGCATTACTTTTCACTGCCCAGTAAAATCAATATTGTGGGTTTGGTGAAAGGCGCTGATTGTGGTGATACGATGCTACAGAATTAGCTGTATTGATTACAGACGTGGGAGTAGGAGAGAGCAGTTGATGCTGGGGTGCCTGCACAGACTGGTGCATGTCATTTCTAGTTGAGCTGAATCCCTGTGGTGGTGCTCCCCCCCCACACTTGTTTCCAGCCACAAAGTTTGCATTTCCTGGCCGCACACCACCACTATTCACACTACTGTGGTAAGAGCTGTATGATGAGTCTGCAGAATCCTGACGATGATTCACCACCATGCCATACATGGACTCAGGGCGATTTGAGCCACCACCAAATTTTGCCACAGCTGAGTTGGCTACAGCAGTGGCATTCCCATGGCTAACACCATAAACACCACCAGTTTCCCCACGGTTCACATTTGCAATGCCACGTACACCATATATACTCTCTGACCGCTGCTGAAGTTGGTTTTGCTGATTCTGAACATTCTGATTGGTTGTATTGTGGCTCTGGCTAAATCTAATTGGGTAGAGAGACTGTGCAGGAACTAGTGGTCCTGGTCGAGGCAGACCATCACGCACACCCACAGGCCCTGGTGGAACTTTGCTGTAGACTGACTGTGATCGGTTGAGGTTGGCTCGAGTCAGGGGTGGAGACTTTGCATACAGAGACTTGGTTCCACCATACAAGGACTCAACCCGATCAAGCTTACATGGCGGTGCTGAGTACAGGCTTGCTGAAGTTAGACTTGGGCAATATGCATTACCAGCACCTGAAACATTCACATGTTCTGACTTACTACTTACAGAGACACTCACATTCTCTCATAAAGTAATCCATTCCTGTCTCCTTACTTTTGTCCTGATAGTTAAAAACTGTGTTCACATATTAGACAGAGCAGGTAGACCTTGGGTAATACTCCAGACTCATTTTCAGGAGATGTTTGGCTTGAATCTCAACCAGGACACCAGCTACCCTAACTTTATGGTCTTCAGTTTCTCCAGATGAACATCAAGGTAGTACCTATATTAGGCCATGATTCCATCCTTCCAAATCCTCTCCTATTCATCTTACACCAATTAACCTACCATTCAATATCATATAATCTAAATACTGACAGTGTCATAAGAAAACCTACCGCCATAGAAAATTAAGTTTCTGCTTTATTCATAAGAAGGGCTCAAATGTAGTAATTAAAGCAGTCAGACTCATGTGAAATTATTCATCACGTTACCTAGGAGACAGAAGTAGGTTACCAGGTAACACGCTACAATATTGCAAGAAAGTCACCTTCCTATTACTGCTGCTGCTTTACCTCCACTACTCATTGATTAGGAGGTTGGCTGCAGGAGAACTTGGATTGCTCAGTTACTGAGCCAATAGCCTCATCAATTCGCACTTTTGTTCCTCAGAGAAATAATCCTTTGTACCATCCCTTGCATCCTCAGTGGTGTATGCCCATTCAGAACAAGTACATCACTCAATCAACTGACCTCCAAAGTGTTACAGATGTCACTGGTATGATACTGTTAATTCAAACTGCAGTTTTATAAACACACACAAATATTCAAACAATACAGTGAAAAGACTGCATTCTTTTACATGCTACATTTCACACATGTACAAAGGGGTAAGCAGCTGTGGGGTTGGGGGAGGGGGGAATAAACAAATGATATCAGAATGGATCTTGAGTTACTATACAAAATATTTTATAATTCTGGAGGAAGCGAGCTAATAAACACATCAAGTAGCATTACCTTCATACCCAGTTTCATTTTTAGTTTAAAAAATACATATAGCCAACACATGAGAGCTGAGACCTGTCATACCTGTGGGTGAAGCGGGTGTTGGTGGTCCTGCATGGTTCACATTTGGCCTGTAGATGTCTGCACCACGCAGAGTGTTGTAGGCAGATCCATCATATTTGGGCACTGCAGGCTTGTCCAACTCATCATAAGGGTCTTCATCAGAGTGAATACTTGAAGAATCTAAGATACAGAGAAGCAAAGGAAATAAAGAACTAGTAGGCAGCTACATTAAATAACAATGTAATTTTCAAGAAAAATCTTGCAGGTGAAACTTGTCATTATCATAGACTGTTGGCATGCTATATTGTCACTTTTATAAATGTTACTTCTATAACATATTTCATCATACAAGGTAATTATCAGGTAAATACTTATATGTAAATGTTACACAACATTGTTTTTCTGGTTCACTTTTCTAAAACTACATTAAAACTGGTTCCAATCATTGCTAAATTTTGTTAGAATTATTTACAACTTATTCCTTTATCAACTGATATTCCATGTTTACAGCACTCCGTGGTTTCTTCGATTGTGTGCAGATTCTTGAATGGTACAGAGTTGTTGTGTTGCTTGTGGGGTCGATATTCAGTATGACTTGGTATTTGTGAAAATATAACATTGTCATATATCCTCATAACTCAACAAGAAATAAATGGGTTCCAGATTAGACGAAGCTGTTTACTGGATAAGTTTTTTATACTTTCAATTACAATCACTCAGAAATAACATCTTCATGCGATGCAACCTGACTAGTTTGTCGTCTTCTGGTTCTTAGCTGAGTTGGTTTCTTCTGCTCTCAGCTCTGCTGCGTTCACCTCTGTCCTGTTCTTCGCTTCTGAACTCTTGGCTTCAATTCTGCCTTCGAAACTCTCCTCTCAGTTCTGTACTTTGTCTGACTTCTGTCCTTCATCTCTTATATTCTACAGTCGGACACACTAGAAGACACCTTCTTCAAGGGTTCCATTTCATGTGTTCTATGCACCAGTTACTGGTGCATTTGTTGCCATGGAAACTGCAATAGTTCTGGCTTTCACTTCCATGGAAATGTCCTTTATGTGTGCGTTCTCACGTGAACCTGTTTCATTGTCACCCCAACAATGATACGGAACCGTGGATACCAAGCCCTTGCCTAACAATTGAAGCCCTCTCCGACTCAGATATTCTGGCTTTTAGGTGGCACGCCACAATATAATATAATACATTACTGTCACAGTTTTAGAGTGAGTATAGACGGAGTTTGGATTGGTAATCAAATATATTGAACATTTACAGTGCATTAACTACAAATAACTAGGACAGTCTCACTGACTTACACACTTCAAAGATCACTGTAACCACAGCACATGTAAAGCCTGCTCAGTCTTCCCTAGCCGCTGCTTGGTAGCGGCTTCTGACAGTGGAAGTTCACCTTACTCTGGGTTTTTGAACTATTCCCGGCCTCAGCTACATCAACTAACTGACTCATTGAGTCACTCACTCACCAACCAACTACTCTTCACTTCACTCAACTGCCTGACTAACTGCAGCTTCCAACTTGTCCTGCTTATAACATCCCAGCACAGACCGCAAATAAAACACCGTTCCTCTGTTGGTTTTCAATTGTTTCCATGCAAATATGCTCTTTGCAAAGCCATTACTAAGTAACGCCTGTTATATTTTTTGGTCATGTCGTAGTCATTGTCCAGCAACGGATCTACATGGCACATTGCTCCCTCCTTAAGGATAATCAGGTCTGAGAGCTGTGCTTGTGATGTTTGTGATCTAGGCTGATCACAAACATCACAAGCAGTCTCCTTCCTCTTGGCACATTTCTCACGGTGATTATTCTCCAACTGCTCCCTTCTTAAGGCAGCTCATCTCAAGCAGTTCCCTGATGTGACCCGGTTCAGGTGTACCATCACCCTCCTTTTCTGAGGGCTGCAGGTAAGGATTCCAAGGGCAGCTGGTGCTCCTACATCTCTTTATCTTAAGCTGCTAGTACTCTCTTCTTCCATTTGGATGGGGGCTGACTCCTCCATAATATCCTGACACTCAGTTTTCGAATCCTGACAGAAGACCGGCTGTTCGCTTCATGATCTCCAATCCCACAGTCTGTCTGATGGTCTTGTTGACTGCCCTTGCTTCCCAGATGCAGCTCCACCCTCACACCTTGGTCCCTTATGCCATTATTGTGCTTAGGTCTCGCCCGACATCTCTTCTCGAACATATGTCCTTTAGGGGTTCTGCTTACAAAATCATCCTTCCAGGTCCCTTGATGTCTGTGCCCCTTGCAAGCTGCAGGGACGGCAAGGCTGGTCATCTATCTGCGAGCAACTGCCAACTTCTTCTGGAACCCACAATCACCCTAGATCCGTTTCTTTGGCTGTCGGCGGTGCCCTATGGCTAGATGCTGGTACCCATATCATTCCTACAGTGCTCCAACTCAGACTCTTTCTTCCAGATTGGCCTCCAAATCCATGGTGTCCATTTTGTCCAGCCTGTCTTCGAAGACATGCACCACGATCTCCATTTCTTTGAGGCTGGTCTTCTTCTCTGGGTTGGCTTTTGCCTTTTATAGACAAGCCTCCATCGCTCCTTGGTAGGCCATCGTCTCTTTTCACCTGGCTTTTATTTCTTCTATCCAGAAATCCATTGTTTCTTGACTAGGCTTTCATTGGTGCCATAATCATCTCGTTACGGTGTCTCATCTCGGCCATCAGGCATTCCATCACCTGTTCCGTCATTTGCTCCATTTCTGTAGCCTGACGATACAGCTATCTACTGCAGTATTCAGTCCAGCAATTCATCCCATTCAATCAATCAATACAATCCCACTTCTGACACAAGCTATCACGATTTTATAGTGACTACAGATGGGGTTCGGATTGGTAACCGGATTTACTGAACACTTACGGTACATAACATCATTAGGCGAGTGTTGGAAAATACACAATGTTGGCAAGTTTCATTTTTATCAGTCAATTACTGCATGATTTATAATTACTAATTCAGTGCCTCCTCCAAGTGAATCACACGTTCGAGGGTGTTGCATGTACAGAGTGCACAAGGTGAACATTACAGACATGAAACACAGAAAGTTAAAAACAAGAGACAAGTTAGAGAGGGTTATATTTATGTAATTAACAAGTTAAACAATGGAAGGAAGGCACAGATGAGTTCATCAGAAGAAAAGATCTGCAAATGGAACAAGTATGGCATGCTCCTTATTTCCCAGTCCATTACCTAAAAGCCAAGCTTTCAGCTACACTAAGTAACTACACATCCTTCCTGTTATTGTCATATGTAAACATGATTCATATTATTTTATGGTTTAAAATGAAGACACGAAACCTCCTACATTGCCTCTGTGAGTCTAGTAATTACTGATTACTTCTACACACTTTGCAACATATGCAAAACATTCATTCACAAACTGTTTCATGTACTATGTCAAGAAGTGATACATCTATTTTACAAATTCTTCCTCACTAACAACATTGCAGGAATGAGGCACTCATGCACATACCTCCCTAAAACTGTATCAATATTGTTACATGTACGAGTAACTACAGACAAGGTCTGGATTCATAGTTGGATTTATTGAACACTTACATATTATAACTACCAGTAACTATAGTGATATCACTGATTCACACACTCTGCAGTTCCCCACAGCATATACTAAGTCTTCTCAGTCTGCCGTGTCTTCAGTCGTTGCCTGGTGCCGTATCCAAACAATGTCCTCTGCTTCCATGCTCTTGTTCTTACTGGCTGGTGACTGTCCCACAACTAACTCCTTGCTCCAGCTGTCAACTCTCAACTAACTAACTCCCAGGTTGACGGCCATCTCACACCAACCTCCTACTCTTCTCTCTGCCATCTCAGAGTCAGAGTCAGTGTTACTTCACGACTGACAGTGGTGATAATCATTAAAAGAATTTCCTATAAATATTTGTCATGATTCATAAGGAACCAGATGACTCGGACCCGAGAAAGACCAAGACTTACTGACTGATTGACTGACTGACCGACCGTAAGTCGCAATGTGACTTTGACTTTGATAAATAAAACATGGTGAGCCAACAACTGAATGAGCACACATGTGTGCATGCCAAAAATGTCCATGTTTAATCTACAATTTTTTGTGTACACAGCAGATGTAAACTAACCTCCATCAATGGATTCCTTGGGCTGTCGAACATGTCTACGTGGATTGAAAATGAATTCATAGATGAGGCCGGATACCACTCCTCCAAGCACTGGACCAAACCAGTAAACCTACGCAAAACAAACATAAATTTCTCAATAACCCTATGGCCATTTCATAAGAGAGAAGTATATAAATGTAAGTAATAATCCTTTGTGAGTACAAACTACAACCAAAATTTAGTAACTCCAGATCATGACACCATGGACGTGAGGAACACAGTTTATAAAAATTTAATCACGCACCACGCCATAAAGATGTATGGTGGAGTGGAGGTATAGTTCCATCATTCTTAATCACAGCACTAGATGGATGTGAGTGGCTGGCTTCACTCCCTGGCCACTTTACCCTTGGGGAAAGAGCCCCCGTACCCACTGGACAGGAGGCTGTGTTGGGCTTAGAACCAGTCTGTATTCTATGGAGTATGGAAACAATCTCTTGCCTCTTCCAGGAACTGAAATCCGGCCTTCCAACCTGTAGCCCATCACCATACTGACTGAACTATCCCAACACCTGCTTCCACCTCAGATGTTGGAAATTGTAGACACAATAAACTTAATTCCATATTGAAGCACCCCTTTTCATTATAACTCAATATTATGCTATATTATTCTTTTCCATTCTTCCTGACACAGTATTTTATAATGATATTCTAGTGTTGTGTAAGACTCATAGTGTCACTATGCACTTGTTGGCCCTACTGTGGTAAAATGTTTTCCAATTGGCATGTAACCATCAACACGTAGTATTTCCAACCAATATACAAGTTGTCACACTGTACATGTTTGTCAAGTTAATAGTTCAGTACAAGTGTTAAAACTAGGTTTAGTTTGATCATTAAGATCCAAACTGAAATTGAAGTTGAAATTAAATATGTTCTCTGTTTCATTATTCCCCACTCCTTATTTTTCCTTGGTATTCTGGTTTAATGCTGCTTCTATTTCTGTTGGGTTATGTTTTGTACTGGTTTGGAGACTACTTTCATTTTAATTTCAATATTAGTATGAATATGTATAAATATTTTAAGCCATAAGATGAAGTGAATATTTTAACTTTACAAGCATGTACAGTGTAACAACTTGCATAACTGCATGGAAGAACCTGATTTTGGCTACATCATAAAATTCTAGAACACCATTAAAAACGTGGACCAGACAAGGGTGGAGAAACATACGTGTAAGTGACACTATAAGAACTTCATGTTTCACATTAGTGTCTATAGAAGTAATGACAGAATGGAACACCAGGTTGCAGCCCTGGACTGTCATGGCTGGGCCATAACACTGCTTACCAATAACAGAGTCAAAAGACATTAGCACTGAGAAGATATTTCATTATAAAATCTGTCTTATGCCCTGAACTGAATAATGAGAACTCACCCAATGGCTGTCCCATCGGTTCATCACGAATGCTGGGCCCAGTGTTCGGGCAGGGTTCATAGAAGGCATCTGAAATTTAGAAAGGAACCATTGCGAGATATGCAGTTCTCAGGGCAGTGAGTATGATGACTACTTCATCTTTGATGTGATGTCACATAGTCTGGTATACTCACACATGTACTAACGTTTCAGAGGAACATGCTGCCTCCATCTTCAGGGTCAATGAGACAATGACAGAGGATGGAAGCTCTTCTGATATGTTGGTACACATACACACCAGACTACATGGCATCACATTCCACAAGATAGTAATCTTGGAGTGACAGATGATACAGGGCTATGTTGTATAATACTCGTATCTCTCATAACAATCACATGGACATACACTAAAGATTCACTAATCAGGTTACAGTTAACCTGGATCAAAATATGAAAAGTCAAAAATGCCATTCACAGTTGAGTATTTGTACATACTTCAAAGGACACATGGCATTTAGGAAAGCAGATGTGTAATTTTCTGTTCAGACAAAATTTTACAGTTTCTTCAATCCTGCATTATTACATTAAAAAACAAGTACAACTTCTGAGATTTATATTGATAAATAAATGTATTGTCTTTATAATTTTTAAATAAAGGCTTTATAGTGATACTTATTTTCATCAGCACTATCTATATCAATAAATTTTCCATTTATTTTTGTTCTAGGTTTCTTTTTTGTCTTTTAGGGCTACATTCTCCTTCAATAATCAGGATTATCACTTAATCCGGATGATCTCTCCCCCCGAACTCCGGATTAGCGACAGTTTACTTTATCTCAAACACAAATTTAAATTTATGATTATGTGCCTTTGGATTTTAAATGGCCATCCGTAGGCTGGAAGGGGCTGTCAACAACACCTGAGCTTCCAGAATGTTGCACATGCATCCCACATTCTAGTCAAAGTCATGCTGCAACTACAGGCTGTCAAGTCAGTTCTTCGTGGAGAGGACCACCTGGGGTTCTTGACCACATATTAGTCTTTGTCAGGGCAGTTACTGTTCCATCATCATGGGAGGTCTTCTCTGACAAAAAGATGGGTTGTCTGCCTCATTAAAAATGTTGTTTACAGTTTTACATGTCTGCCTACATACATGAAATTTAGAGTTCTATCTTCTGGGATATTAGTCTGCTCAGTATTTGGAAATCTAGTGAAGTTTCAAAGAAATAAACTGCCTCGTTTCATACTTAAATCATTCTTCAACGATGAAGATAGATCTGACATATTCCTCCGAAACTTATGGACTCCGCTGTGTTATACTCCACAAGACAGATCCATGATGATAGTAGTTTCGATATACTAACTCAATGGAGCTGAGCCCTTCTTGAGAAGCCGCCAGTTGTGCAGCTACTCAAGAACTTCCCAACATTTTATGAAAGCTGAAGGTTGATTGCCATGTACATAAGACACCTCCACTGGTCCCTGTCCTGAGCCAGAGCAATCTAGTCCATATCATCCCATCCTATCTCACTATTATCCACCTACCCAGGTCTTAGTCTTCCTAGTGGTCTCTTTCCTTCTGGTTTTCCCACTAATGTCCTACATGCATTCCTCCTTTCCANTAACTTTAAATTTTAACGTTGACGACTCGGTTTTGAGGGTGGTCCTTTAGATGCAAGACCTGCATTCAAGATACTGGGAAGTGTTGTGCCTTACACTCCGTTATATGTAATAGTTTCCACGAATAATTACATATTGTGGATGTTGAGCTGTGCCAGTGTTTTCATGGTTTGTTATAAGTGCCTCTGAAGATGGTTCCTTGGAACCGAAACATGTAAGGCAGATGAGATAATTAAGTGATCAAAATATACATTGTTGCACTTGACGGAAAATCTATTGATAATTAGTAAATATGTTACAATGCTCTGTGGTAGATAGATGGGTCCAATCTCATCATATTTTGTTTATACACCTATATCCGGAAACGTTTCCTTTTGGCACTAAGTGCCACAAAATTTTACGATAGGATACATAAGTTTTATGGGATGTTATCATTGTTTTACATTATAAAAGTTGCTCAAAATGATGACCGCCGACTTCATTCCATGTTCTGCACCAACTGGCCATGTTATGCTGAAGATACCCAGCATTTCCTGGATGGATCCAGCTGCTACTGCAATTCTTGCAACAAGATCATATTGTGTCTCCACTAGAGTCTCATACACAAGGTGTGGCATGTACCCCAAGAGAAAGATATCCCGTGGAGTCAAATCAGATGAGCGAAGGGGCCAGGTTATTGGGCCTCCACGTCCAATCCATCTGTTGCCAAAAGTTTCATCCAAATATGAGCAACATTTATGCAGTGTGATGGGGCACCATCATGCTGGAACCACATTTCACGTTGGACTTCCAAAGGCACCACTTCCAGCAGCTCGGGTAAGGTCTCTTGGAGAAATTTTAGGTATACGTCACCAGTAAGAGGTAAGGGCATCCTCCTTCACATTTCAGAGGCCCTAGCCATGTAAACAAAGCGTTTCCAGATATGGGTATATAAACAAAATATGATCAGATTGAACCCATCTATCTACCAAAGAGCGCTGTAACATATGTTTATTTACATACTGTATATGTATACTCTTTAAATACTGCATGCCTCTGCCAATCCGTGCTTCATACAACAGATTTTGCCTAACCTTACCTTGTGTGTATCTATCCCTCGGGTTTGTCATTCATAGCTTCAGCTGCAGCTACATGCAATTTTGTGAATTCAGAGAATTCTGCTCCAATTCCCGGTATCAGAGGCAAGATTCATTATGTGATTTCGTCCATCTACAAGTACGCAATTTAAGAAAGGGATAATCAAAAGCCACAGAACTCTGGCTTGATACACAGGAGGTCCTGTATTCGATCTCGGCACAGAAACTGACAATTCTGAGATTATGCATGGCCTTTCTCAATCCCCAACAAAAATGCCCTGGAAATGCCTTAATAGGCCACGATCACCCCTCTCTTCGCCTTTCTTAATGAAGCATCCATAAAGTCCAGGCCAGTCTTCATTAACTAACGAAGCGTTAAGACAAGAAAGTGTCTGGCAAGCTGTTAACTAGGAAGGCAAATGACTTGTGGGAAACAATAGGAATGGCTGGGAAGATAATATTAAAATGAATCTTAAAGAAATAAAATCAGAGGTGTGGTGGTCAGATGAACCCGCACGTACATATTGGGCTCACATCACAAAGAGAGGAAAGTGCAACCTCATGCCAATAATAATAATAATGATAATAATTCATTTATTATATGACTCAGCAACGAGTAAACTTCATAACAGATAAACCCTTAAAGCGCATAATACAAAAAATAAAGAATGTGCAAATGAAGGGGGATACAATGGGCAGGCCATGTAGGATGCATGGGACAGAAATGCATACAAAGTTCTGACGGAAAGCCTGAAGGGAAGAGACAAATGAGAGACGAGAGGATACACGTACTTATTAACTTGGATCTTACAGGAACAGGACGGACTGAAAAGGTCGGTCTGGAAGTAAGATTTTAGACTCGTATTCGGGAGGTGTCCGGTTCGAATCTCGGCCGGGAAACCGGCTATCTTGGCAGTGCTTCTCAGTGCCTCTGAGCAAATGCCGGACTGTATATCGATCAGGCCACAGCCACTTTCGTTCAAATTATTTCCAGTTTTCTATCACCAGACACTATATAGGCTCGATACTGATAGCGTCGTTAAATAACAAACTAAAGAAAGAAAAGGTGAAATGGTGAGGGTTGGATTCATCTGGCTTAGGATATGGGCCAGTGGCGGACTCTTCGAAACTAGGTAATGAACCTTTTGGTTCCATAAAATTCTGTCGGCTGAGAATAGCCGAACAACTACAAACAGCCTTTCTGAAAAAATTAAGATATTTGGGAACGTCATTATCAAATCAAAGCTGTATCCATGAAATAGTTAAAAACTTGCTACCATTCACTTCCCAACCCCCACCTAGGAACGTAAAGCTCAAAATACATAAAAGTATTATCTCACTTGTATTTTGTACGCGTGCGAAACTTGAGCTCTCAGAGGGAAGTCAGCAGGCGGAGGGAATTTGAGAACAAGGTGCTGAGAAGAATATTTGGACCGAGCAGGGATGATACGGTAGGAGGCTGAGGAAAACTGCACAATGAGAAGCTTCATAACTTGAAGTCATGTATTACAATGACATAATTCCATTGAATGAGATGGCCAGGACATGCAGCAGAGATGAAACTCTGAAGGAAGACCTGCGTGGAGATGGGTAAAAGGTAAAGCTATCCCCGTAACAGGCCATGGAAGTCCATACGTTTGTGAGACATCGAGGCTCCAACATTTTCAGACAATCGGCTCACAGAGGGGGGGGGGGGCTGTCAGCCTTACGCGCCAGCCGCCCTTTACCACAAGGAAGATTTATGGTACTCATTTCTGTTAGTGGCTGAGTCGACCTCAGGGCCATAGTGCGGCTGGAAGGATTGGTCAATTGAAAAATCCAATGACCTCATCGGGAATCGAACCAGCAACTTTCCGACTTGTAGCATTGTGCCTCGACTAACTACGCTACCGCGTGCCCCACGGCGGTGGAAGAATATTAAAATGTACCTTAAATAAATAAATAGATATAAAATGGAAGTGTGGATTGGATTCATCTGGCTGAGAACAGGAACTAATGGCGGTCTCTTGTGAACACGGTAATGAACATTCAGGCTCCATGAAATATCGGGAGTTTGGAAAAACTCTGAGCAACTATTGGCTTATTATGCTGGATTCAGATCAGTGGGGTTTGTCGGTGTGTTAACGGATACTGCAACACAAATGTTACACGAATTCTCTTCTTTGCACTAATGGACGCTCCTTTTTCTGGGCTGATCAACTCAGAACGTAACGCTCACTGCACGCAGCTCCTACCCGCCTGCTGGGACTGCTTCATCCAGCACCTGGCGCACAAGACACGCAACAATGAAGTCGACAAGAAAGAAAAATATAGTACAAGATAATTATTATGTTGAGAGCCCCCTGCAAGATGGTAACTAAGCGCATCCTCTAGTCCGCTTCATTGATCGTATATTAATTGTTGCGTGCCTCTGTTCCTGTACTGCTGCGGTCAAGTCTGCGTGCCACAGCCTAGCCTGAACAGGAAAATTAATATGGTAAGAACATTTCTGCTCTCTATGGCTCTACAGCCCTTGGGATCTTGGTCGCTTTTTCAATGTCTTAATCTCATACACAGTCAGTAAGACTTCTTGGAAAGCGGATCAGCCCGTCGCAAGGCTGCTACCTATACACGGAACAGCGCAGACATCCATGCCTCGATTTGGAATCGAACCCACGATCCCAGTGCTCGAGAGGGCGAAGACGGTTCATGCCTTAGACCGCGCGGCCACTGTGAGCGGCCTCCCCTTTCTCTCCAGAAACAAACTCGTTCTATTTATCGTAATTTTTATTTTCTTATTCTTCTTCCTCTTCTGAATTTGATGGTTAGTATATGACATGGACCCTGTCAGTCTTCTGTTCATACCTGTGACGTCCAACAGTATCTCCTTCGCACTGTGGATAATGTTTCAAAATGGCGTTCAGCAATCTCTTGGAATGCTAAATGAATGGTCCGCTTTGTAAGGGAATGAAATATTAATTTAAATATATATTTTCATGGACTCGCGTCCATCAAAGCGACGTCTATCATGTATATGAAAACTGCCTTAGCCGAGTAGTCTTTCTGATAAATACAGCTCGTATTCTTACGTTCGTTTGGGNGGAGGGACAATCGGCTCAGCGACGAGGTTGTCAGCCCTTTACCCTTAGGAAGATTCCTGATACTCATTTCTGTTAGAGGCTGAGTAGACCTCAGGGCCATAGTGCGACTGGAATGATTAGGTCAACTGAAAAAAAGCCAATTACCTCATCGGGAATCGAACCCGCGACATTCCGTCTTGTAGCGCAGTGATACAAGCTACACCCACTGTATATATAGCAAAACTTCCACGACCAACATTTTATATGAAATTCACATTTTCAAATGTACGTTGCATGTCTATCGCAATAATCCTTCTCTTTTTTCTGTGGCGCTACAGCCCCAATTTGGGCCTAGGCCTACCTCCATGAAACTCTCCGTTTCACTTCGGTTTACTAGATCTTACACATTCGGTAGGACTCCTTGGGCGAGTGATCAGCTAGTCGCAAGGCCTCTACCTGTACACAGACAGAGAAAAACGCACACAAACATCCATGCCCTGAGTGGGATTCGAACCCACGATCCCGGCTTCCGAGCGAGCGAAGACAGTGCATGCCTTAGACCGCTCGGCTACTGTGACCGGCCTCATTCTTCATTTAATCGCCTTAATAAAATGTGGAGAAAGCTCTAGATCGCATTAAGTGGAGGAACTGTTTTGGAACAGACTGTGGACCTGTCGTCTTGACAGATTACTGATTAATGAATGAAATGTATCGAAAAACAAGAACCATTAACATCCTCATTACGCAAGTCTCTCCCTCACTTACTTACTTCATAAGGAAAATGTTCAAGCAGTCATCGCAATATTTTGTTTCGTAACATCCAAAATCTCTTTCTTACTCAGATACCTATACAAAATGTGAGATAAAATTATTAAATTTCACTACCGTAACGTCCGTTGAGAATTCAGACAGCAGTCTCAAGCTTTTTTATATAAGATTTCGTAGTATTAACACAAGTAACTTCCTTGCTTTCTGTGGTATTCCTTTCCAGTCGCTTATTTTACCGAATGATACGTCGAGGCCGATGTTTAACGCCATCTCCCATGGATAACACGTGCAAACAGACAATAGTAAACCACCTCCTTTATACAGTATACTATAAGTCATATATCCACATCAAACTATTATCCAGACCTTCAGGATACGCAAGAAACACTGAAACAAACCACTGCTCGCTTGTTCATTAACTACTGCATAACCTACGTTTATACAGAGTGTTAACACTCGACAGTTCGTTGTTATGGTAGCCCGAAATTTCGTAATTTCAGAGCCCCATCTAACTCTTACATTAATTATATAAGGTAAAATTGTTCCTGTCCTTAACGAATTAATCACTACGCCACGAAGGCGTATTGGGAAGTGGATGTATAAATCCAAGTATTCTTGACCTCGGCACTAGATGGAAGTAAGTGTTCAGCTGCACGCCCCGATCGCTTTATCCCTGGAGAAAGAACCCCCGGTGTCCACTGGATGGGTGACTGGATGGGCCCCAAAGCCGGTCTGGATGACGTGGTGAGAAGAAAAAATCTTTCCCCTACCTGGACTCAAACTCCGACATCACCGGGCTTCCAGCCCGTAGCCAGTCGCTGCACCGACAACGCTATCCTGGCTCCATGTATATACAGTTCAGTCCTTTATATATAAAGGGTTAAATTTTAATCTTCGAGCTTCTGCACAGGACAGAGGAAAATGGACAACTTTAAACGAAGTCATCCAACGCTTGAGGCTACGTAACGCCTCCACAGATGTTCCGATATTCCTGGATCAGACTGTACGCGAAGAACCGGTGCGAGAGACACCTGCCGTCTACTTACGTCATTTGTTTTATGTTTTTTCCTTATCCTGCCAGAGGCTTCCTTCCCACTTCATTCAAATACCTTACTGCGCCCTATTTCTGCTCTGTATGAGAGGGGTGGGGGGCTCCATCTCCACTAGCGTGCGCGTTTCAGCGTACTGTCGATTCGAACGGAGCTGTTCCCACACAGCCACACGACTGATCAATGGCTCGTGGCAAAGGGGTCTAATCTTACAACTTCAATGAAATTCCAACCATGCAAAGTCACAATCAATGGAAAAAGTTGGCTTACATCAGCGATTTCCGAAATGTGGGGCGGATCGCACTCTAGATAAAGGGGGGGGGGGGGTTGGGTAGAGGGGTGCTGAATATTTTGGAAAAATTTATTACAATTCTCAAAATGTTAGAGATCGATTGTAAATTTCGTAAAAGATTGATAACATTATTGACACAGAAAAATATGTTGATTTTAAGAATAAGTACCTGGAAATAATTTTCCTTATATATATGCAAAATAAACTGGAGCGGGGTGAACTCGTTAAGCTGAGAGGGCGTCACTGGAAACTGAGAACCAATGTCTTGCATAAAAACGTCGTCTTATTCTCAGTTCTCCTTCGGTATTGAATGACGCATACATTCAACATCAGCCGGCAAAGGTAAAGCTATCCCTGTAACAGATCGTGGAGGGCCACAGGGTTATGAGACATTGAGGATCCCACATTTTCTAGCCAATCGGCTCACAGATGGCGGTGAGGTTGCCAGCCTTACGCGCTGGCCGCACCTTTATCCCCAGGAAGATTCCTGGTACTCAGTTGTGTTAGGGGCTGAGACGACCCCAGGGCCATAGTGCGGCTGGAAGGATTACGTCAACTGAAAAATGCAATGACATCATCGGAAATCAAACCCGAGACCTTCCGGCTCCTAGCACAGTGCCTCAACCAACTGTGCAACCGTGTGCCCCATGTGGAAGAAATAATTTCAGACGGGATCTCCCTGAGCGAGGTCCACTCTATTACATCGCGTTTCCATGTGAGCTAATGTGTGTACCTCTCATGCCTCCACCAGTTTATATAGGCGATACAGGCCATGCCATAGCTCAAGCGGTTAGTCGCCGGCTTCCCACCTTGGCGCTCCGCGGGGCGTTTTCTTCGAGTATTTTGGCTTCCCATACCAATTGCTCTTCACTCATTAACCATCCTGTCAGCCGTCGCTATATAGTCCCGATATTGACAGCATCGTTAAATAGCCAACTACAATATTTAACTAGTGTAACCCCTCACGGTCAACGTAGCTGTTAGGTCTAAGGCATGTACTGTCTTCGCTCTCTCGGCAGCCAGGATCGTGGGTTCGAATCCTGTGTCTAGGTAGAGGCCTTGCGACGAGCTGATCACCCGTCCAAGGAGTCCTACCGTCTGCAAAATTATCATGAAACTGAAAATCAGAGGCCAGGGCCCAAGGGGGCTGTAGTCAGTGGAAAATAAAACCCGTTGAGAAATCAACGCGAAGCCTAAGAAAATGATGTACGTGTATGCGCTTTAGTCTTATTAACTTCCCCTGCCTATTCCTTTCCAGTTCTACGTGCTATCCAACAATACGTCAACACCAAGTTTAATGTCTCCCCCCACCAATAACACGCACAAACAATGAATAGTAAACAGTATCATATATACAGTATACTATATTTCATGTATCCGACCGCCTCTGTTGTCTAGTGGTTAGAGTCCCTGGCTACAGATCCAGAGGTCTGGGTTCGATTCCCGACGCTACAAGATTTCTTCTGAGAAGTAGTGGGTCTGGAACGGGGTCCACTTAGCCTCGTGACGATAATTGAGGAGCTATTTCAAGGAAGTAGCGGCTCCCGTCTAGAAAACCGAAATTAACGGCCGTGGCTATTCGTTGCGCTGACCACGCAACACCCTCTATCCGCTAAAGTTGGTAGTAACTTCGCCGACAAGACGCGGTTGCTCGGTCGGTATAGTTCGCTTGTGGACTAAAACCACGGAGTTTATTTTATATTTCACGTATCCACAACAAATACGGACTTTCAGTACTTACAGAATAGACACGATACTCAATTAAGTCATGACTGGTTAACTTCCAAATCATTTCCAATCCCTCTAACATTTAACGATACTCACAGCATCGTTACTTATCATCTTAAAATAAAATTATAAAACACGAAGCTCGTCACGTGGCACTTTTCTTCGCCTTTCTGTCGCCTCTCCCCTCGCTCAGAGCCGTCATGCAGCCTTACCGACACCAGAGTGCAGGCCAGATAGGCCGATCCGACTGTCAGAGCGGAACTGCCCAGCCACTTCCGGTACGTGTCCATGGAGACGAAGTATGTGAACACCACAATGAACGTGAGGATGAACTCGACGCCGAACCTCTCCCAAGAGTTGAGGTGTGCCGGCAGATGGGACGCCGTGGCGCTAAGGTTGCCCATGTAGCCTGGGACTGTCACCCTGCAACAAACCAACATGAGTTGTACTCGAGAGTTGCTTACTACGAAGATACATACATACCTGATATGACCAATTCTGGTCGAAACATGCAGTGAACTAAGATAATTAAATGTTTTTACAATGAACATTTGTGTTGCATAAATCATAACAATGCTGACAATGCTGCTGCCACGTCTCCTACAACTGCCACCACCACCACCACCACATACAGAACTAGTGTAACCAGTAACAACAGCAAAGACAAAGACGAACAGTGAAGACAGAATATTAACTTCATACCGACAAAACACATAAGTGAGAACATGTTAACACTATGAGGCACACATCGCCTCTAAATGGCATTTAAAACCGAGTTTCTACGTCACAGACCACCGTGTCTTGGTAACAAAGACCAACCGATGAAATGCTCTGTATACTAATAATCACATGAAACATATAGTACTACCACAGTCAATAAGTTCGTGGAATGGCCGCAAAGCGTCGAACGGGAATTTACTGCCAATATGTTTCAGCAATGTTTTCGACAGCTATATCAACGTTGGCAGACTTGCATGGAGGCCAACGGCAACAATTTTGAGGGCCGATGTGGATTTGCGTTAAGTGTATGTGAATACCTTGTAATATGAAGCGATTCGGACCATGAGATTCCAGTCGTACAGCGAATTTGAGAAACAGACTGGAAGACCGGAGAGTTCGGTCGAGTTCTGGTGGGCCGGCATTCCAAGGTCACTGAACAAGAAACTGCAAGAAGACTTCCTAGTTATTCGAAGTGTTAGCTCATATGTTAAAACCCGCTGACAAGAAACGGATAGTGAAGACACTGTAAATGCCTAGCCATTGTTGAGATCTGCTACCTAACAACGTCTAGTGTAAGCAGGCGTTGAGGGCTTTACTTATGTGTTATAGTTACAGTAATCTTCAGAGTGCTATAATTACTTGTACTTACGACTTGTGAGTATCCAACAAATCGATTCACAAATCCAAACCCCGTCTACAAGACACTAATACACGTAACACAGGACCATAGAATGGGAACAATCTCTACCTAATAACAAGAACACGTGACACCCCTATAGAGGACAAAACATACACAACAACTTTACCACCGTCAATAAATAGGAAAATAGAACGTAATTTCACATACTCGTACATGCAGCAAACCGCCATGTAACATGTGCACAAAGAATTGGAAAAAAAAACCCCGCAGATTTCCAGATAACCCATCTACTCTAAGATACACCATAAACTTGTATTCCGAGCTAAATAATAGGAAAAAAAAAATT